ATAGTGTAGTAATAGAATTTCAACTAGAATAGGGTACGTTAATCGTTTGCTTGGGACCAATAGGCTACTAAAGTGGTGAGCCAATTTAAAATCGTTAGTTTCGTATTGATTGTTGATATTACGCTGTACGATTAACACAGAATTCGAGAACAAATCATGTTGATGACTGTAATATTCTATCAACTTTTACCCCTTTTGCCAGTTATTGATGTTCAATACTTCACCATGAATTTCATTGATTGATACATATCAGGCATAACATTTGATAACGGCACAAAAGCATTTGTAAACAAACTTTCTAAGGCCCTTTACACGCGAACCAAAGTACGCCCACCCAAACCAACAACATCATCGGATAGGGGCAACTATCACCTTTCCGAAAGTGGTATTGGAATAACAAATTTACAAATTCTTTTGTGCCGTTATCAAATGTTATGCCTGATATTATATATTTTTGCTGTACACACATTAAAGTGATGAGCGGTGGTAGAAAGGGCACTAATTAGTGATGCATTACCTCGTTTAAAAACTTGTTTCCAGCAAAAGAAAAAGCACACTAAACAAACAAAACAAATCCCTCAAAAAAGTCTTAGCTTCTGTGATTTGTTTTCCAATGGATCCGTATATCTGCAGAATTCAATCAATTCTATACATCTACGGAAAATTTAGCACACAGCAAAAAAAAAAAATGTAATATCGATCAATATAATTCAAGCTGATGTATGAAATAATGATGTAATAGCAAAAAGCAGATACAATATTACATCAATGGATGGATGGATCAATACGAAACTAACGATTTTAAATTGGCTCACTACTTGACTCTCGACTTGACTAGCCTATTGGTCCCAAGCAAACGATTAACGTACTCCATTCTAGTCGAAATTCTAGTACTACACAATGTTTGTTTTGGTTCGCTATGAAAGTTTGACAGATAAAATGAGGGGTTAGTGGATTTTCCTATGTTTCGAGGGGTGAATCGATTAGCTTGGGACCGAAGAGAGTACCAGAGCTGAGCCAAAAAGTTGAGCACGTTTCTACGTGACCTTCTAGTCTTAGAGTTACCTCTATGGATGTATTGTTCGCAAAATCGATGTACATCGTACAACGTTATATTCAACAACTTTTTTTTCTGTGTAGAACCGACATCACTGACTTCCATCTTTTTTGTTTTTATTCAACACAGCTGACGCGTTGACAGAACGAGGGAAAAGCAACTGGTGAAAAAATGGCATGAACGAGAGATGCTCTGGTTGCACATAAATACTTGGAAATGCGGATGATAGATGGTGCTAGCATAGAGGTAACTCTAAGACTAGAAGGTCCCGAAATAACGTGCTCAACTTTTTGGCTCAGCTCTGGTACTCTCTTCGGTCCCAAGCTAATCGATTCACCCCTCGAAACATAGGAAAAACCAATAACCCCTCATTTTATCTGTCAAACTTTCATAGCGAATCAAAACAAACATTGCGTAGTACTAGAATTTCAACTAGAATGGGGTACGTTAATCGTTTGCTTGGGACCAATAGGCTAGTCAAGTAGTGAGCCAATTTAAAATCGTTAGTTTCGTATTGATTGTTGGTGCTAGTGCGCATGCAAAATACGCTTGACGATATTTTTTGAAGAATTTTCTTCTGTTTGTCTGTGCTAACACATTGATCACGACTGAGCCAAATTTTTGCATGGATTGCAGTGACCGCCACCTTGAAACAATATTAAAGCAAATTACAGTTGGGTCGGTTACCTTTTTAAAAAAATACAGATCTCTCGGTAATTTTCGATTAGCATATCGTCCTCAAAATTACAATTCTCCGGTAATGTCGAATACATATCAAGCAATGCACATCGGTTAACGTTACCGATCGTTCGGTAAATTTGACAGCTAATTTTGCTGATCCACTTTACAGATTTTTCGGTAATGTTCTCGATTACCGAAAACATTACCGACCGTTCAGCTGTTGAGAATTCGGTAAATGAATTTTCGAAGTCGGTGATTTTTTTCTAAGTGTGTAAATAAAATGGTCCCAATATAATTCCTTTCCCAAATAAGCATGAGGAAAACAAGAATTTGAAGTGGTAATTTCTTAAACAACCCATTAAGGTTCACTTTCAAAAAACCATAAATATAAATGATAAAGGTTCAATTCGTATGGAATTTTCCACTAGCTTTCTACCCAAAAGTAAGTTAGTTGTACCCAAAAATAGGTACATATGATTATACTCAGCGTTGGGTTCCCACACTTTACTACCCCTGTTGGGTGGTTATGCTCCTCCGTTTTTGACAACATTAGAAGGGCCAAAAGAGACAAACTAGTCAAAAGTAGGTAAAAGTTAACTGACCGTTGGGAATTTTTTTTTTCTAACCGTGCAAGAGAGTGCAAGAGCGCTTGATAGTAGAGTCGGTGTATAATGAGTCACGCCAAGAGAAAAGAAGTTGAACTCGCATCACGGTTTTCGAATGATTCCCTTTCTTTTCACTTGGCAACAAAGGACTTCTACCAACAATCAATATGAAACTAACGATTTTAAATTGGCTCACCACTTTAGTAGCCTATTGGTCCCAAGCAAACGATTAACGTACCCTATTCTAGTTGAAATTCTATTACTACACTATGTTTGTTTTGATTCGCTATGAAAGTTTGACAGATAACATCAGGGGTGTGTGGATTCATGCAGAACATGCAGGGGTGAGTGAAATAGCTTGGGACTGCTTGGGACCGTTGTTCTGGTACTGAGTGAGCCAAAAATAATAATGATTTTCTTCGGGACCCAGTTGTCTTAGAGTTACCTCTATGCTTCTACATCAACTTCAAATGACTTCCAGCGAGAAAAATAAATAAATAGCGGCTGTAGTAAATCATTATATCAGTGATTTAGTCAAATTATCTTAACCAAAAATAGTAGAAATTCTCATAAGTGATCATTACCAAACGTATCCCATGACAATTTATTGCTCACTGCGTATTTATGATCATTTCTTCGATTATATTTCATATTTTATTGCAATACCTTTCGTTGATCTTTCATAGCATCGTAATGTTGGTGTACTTTGCACGATATATCGTAGCCGGTTTGACAGTTCAATAGGTAGCCGGTTTGACAGTTCAATAGGTAGACTTGGCTTCACTCTTGGCGTGACTCATTATACACACTGAAACAAATCGACATGTACCGTTTACTGGATCCATCTTATAACATAGCAATGTCAGCAGATTTATTCATTCTATGTGATGATTGATAGATTCCATTGTATTATCACTTTAAAACTATGACTGCGATATGGAATGATTTCTATCGTAATTTCACATACTTTGTACTTGATAATACTTTGCTTCGAACTTGGCTTCGAACGTGGTTAGCGATAGGTAAAAAGTATATGAATATTGTCTGATATATTTCATGGTGAAAAATTGTTGATATGTCATGTTGATATATGTGGGAACAGACATCTAGAAAGTAATGGAAAATCATATAAGTTTGCATTATTAGATAATTCAGTACAATATACCTGTTTTCATGATGAATATTGCTCACTAAAAGATATATCTTATAAGATAATCATGTATATTTTATTGAAGTTGCTTTTAACGATTTTTGACGTTTGTTGATATGTCACGTGTAAACAGACATGTAGAAACTATTGGACTGTCATTTAACTTTGCAGTATAGGAAAACATGTATATCTCATATCTCATTGGAATAGCTTCCTTTGATTTTTGAGGTTTAAAGATTGTAAACAGATTTATCCCAATCATTATATAGTCATATAGATTTGCCTTTTAAGAAATCCAACAGCAAACATTTGTTTTGGCATGTTTTTCTGGGATGAATATCGCTCAAAATAAAATACATCTTACATGATTGCTCTTCATAAATTATTGAAACAATTTTCAACGATGTTATCGTACACCAAGTCGTACACTCATTAAAATGATTGTTGATATTGTAAATATTGCTAACAACAATGACACTGTATTGAATAATCTTTGTTTGTTATTGTTTCATAAGATAAGGGGTTCCGGAAAAGAATGTATTGAGATTGAAAAAAAATTATTCTATTGCAATATTTACTTTGCTGTGATTCTAATTGTAAGCCTTCTACACAGCTAATTCAGATTCCAGCCCTAGTACTCGAACTTCATGAACCAGTTCCATCAACTCATATAATTTAGTCGTTGTTTTATTGCACACAGGCGCATTAAGAAAGATTTGAACAAACGACACCACCGAAACGGAACATAAACTTGTCAGTGCTATTTGTCTTCACTCTAGCAAAACGAGCATAAAGTTGCACTACATTCCATGTCGGGAGAGCTGTTCTTACTTCATGCTAATTGAACGAGCTCAATCTTGAAGTCAGCCGTGGCCCAGTGGAATCGAGCGCAGAAACCGAAAGCATCACACCTCAACAGTTCTTGATCGAATCCCAAATCAGCTACAATAAAAAAAAGACACAACTGTGAAAGCTCCCACTGCCTGATGTTTATTTTTCGATTTATTTTTAGAAATCGATTAAATATATGTGTCAAAAGAAGAAGTAAATTTCATGTGATTTTCACATAAACTTTACTTCGATTGATTTATGACACATATATTATATTGTGGTGAAACGTAAAGCTTATGCTTATGGGTTTCAAATCCATTTCAGTTAATTATTATAATTTGACTGATTTTCATTTATCATATGACGATCACATAAAAGTTACCAAATTATCAGCATTGTAAATGCATCAGATATTCATATAGAATTTACCTGACACATTTTCAATCATATCATTTTCAATGGATTATCTTATAGCGCAAATTTATTAGATTTCCACATAACAGGAATATGTCAAATTGGTTCAGTGCACCGACTCTACTTGATAAAAGTTTTTCTAATGAAATATTTCATCACAAAGTTTCAAATTACATGTGCACAGCCTTATTCCACATTTTGAAATCCGCTACCTGGGCGTATGAATTGTTTTGGTTTGGATTTTGACAGCAATTTTTTTTTGTGTTAAGAAAAAGCGCAAGCAAATTGGTTCTTTCGGTGACATTTTTGCAATTTATTCAGCTTTTTCCGGAAAACTCGTGATGGAAACTAGTGAAAATGATTCGGCAAGTGTCGAAACAACCACGCAGCCTACGGGAGAAGTGGACACAGAGCCAGCGGATGTCGAAATGGAGGATATTGAAGCACCCTCAGTCGTACCCATAGCAGCGCAGCAGCAGCAACAAGAACAGCCGCAAAGCAGCGATGTTCCTGAGGTGGAAAATGATCCGGTCACACCGGCGGTGCAAGTTGTGGCAGAACCAAAAGAAAAAGTGCCCCTGCTGGCCAATCCACCATCCCTGTTGCGGGGTATGGCTCCAAATTTCGTTAGAGGCATTGCTCCTAGTGTTGGCACACCTGGCAGCATCCCCGGGCTTGTTCCCGGAAATGCAATGCATGCACCTCCTCCATTGCTTGCCACTCCCCCGGTTCAGACACAGGAACTGTGGGTAGAAACGAAAACCGCCGAAGGAAAGTCATATTACTACCATGCATTAACGCGTGAGACGACTTGGACTCGTCCGGAAGGACCGAATATTAAAGTGCTGTCGCAAGCGGAAGTAGAAGCCATGAACAAACCACAAACGCCTCAACCCAAACCGTTACTTGAGCTCAAACTAGAGCAGCCGATTCCAAGTTTGATGGGTGTTTCAGTGGGAAATATCGTGCCTACTACCGCTATTCCGACAGCTGTTACAGCGGCTTCAGTTCATCGTTTTTCCGGGCCACCGCCAGCGTTTATGGGGGGAATGCCACCGTTTGGAATGCCTCCACCTTCTTTTCCCAATTTTCCACCTTGGAATCAAGCAGCTGCTGTTGCAGCTGCCGCCGCAGGTGGAGGCCCGGGCCAATGGCCACCGGGTATGTCTCCGTTAATGGATCCGGCAAAGGCCATTGCTGAGATTAAGACGAACGAAATCGATCCTACTATCGCGGCTAAAGCCATAGCGTGGACAGAGCATAAGGCTCCCGATGGTAGACCGTATTATTATAATGCGTCCAAGGGCGAGAGCGTCTGGGAGAAACCGCAGGCAATCAAAGATATGGAAAGTAAGTGATGCATGAATTATTGATTTATGAATTTACAATTTACAATTTTGTTCTTTGTTTTTTTTTTCTTCTAGTGGCAAAATTGGCACTGTACAACGCTCGACAGAAACCGAAAGCAATTCCTCCTTTCATCGCACCACCGATTCCACCGCAGATGCCTATTATACCACCACTCCAGAGCAGTCTAGTGCAGGGAGCCGGAATGCCCGGTCAGATTGGCGGAGGCGTAAAGATTCAACAATTCCCAACTCAACTAACTCAGGTGTCCACACCTGGCGGTGCTCCGATCCGGCTGCATCAAATCAGTGGGGCCCCGGGAATGGTCTTCGACCAGATTAATTTTATGGCAAACAATAAGAATGAAAAGCAAGAGGAAGAGAAGAAGAAAAAAGCCGAAGCCGAGAAAAAGAAGAAAGAAGAAGAAGAGAAAGCTAAAGCGGCTAAGCCGCTGGACAAAAGTCGCCCGATATCAAGCACTCCCATCAGTGGAACACCGTGGTGTGTCGTTTGGACAGGGGATGGTCGGGTGTTCTTCTACAATCCATCATCGCGGACATCGGTCTGGGAGCGTCCGGAAGATCTGAAGGAGCGAGCCGATGTCGACAAGGCCATTTCCGTACCACCGCAGCAACTGTTGGGAACTCTTCCAAAAGAAACCGAGGTGATAAAACCTGCGATTTTGGAACCTGCTGAAAAACAGTCGGACTCGGAATCAAGTACCGAAGAAAGTGAAGAGGTTCCCAGCAAAAAGTTTAAAACCGATGTTGAAGCGGCCATCAAGACGTCGCAATCGGCTGCTGCGGCCGCCAGTATCAAGGGAACCACCGATCCTGAGAAAGAGGCACTTGCCATGGAAGCCGAAGTTCGAGCATCCAGGGAGCGCGCTCTGGTGCCGTTGGATGTGCGGATGAAATCGTTCAAGGAAATGCTGAAGGAGAAGGAAGTTTCGGCATTCAGTACCTGGGAGAAGGAACTGCATAAGATCGTGTTCGATCCGCGGTATCTACTTCTAACGTCCAAGGAAAGGAAGCAGGTGTTCGAGAAGTACGTCAAGGACCGGGCCGAGGAAGAGCGCAAGGAGAAGAAGAACAAGATGAAACAAAAGCGAGAGGAGTTTCGGTCTCTGCTGGAAGCGGCCCACTTACATGCCAAGTATGTCTTGCGCGGGTTGAATTCTCCGGAGACAGAAAATCCTAATATATTGTTTCTCTTCAGATCATCATTCAGTGAATTTGCTCAGAAATACGGCAAGGACGATCGCTTCAAAGTGATCGAGAAGATACGGGAACGTGAAAGCCTCTTCAACGAGTTTATCGTTGAAGTTCGCAAACGGGAGAAGGAGGATAAGCAGAATAGAAAGGAACAGGTGAGTTGTGATGGATGGGTGGTATTGCCGTGGTCAGGATGTACCAGTTCTATTGTTTTCTTTGAATTTTTACTCCCATGTAATTTTTGACATATACTTTTACAAGTCAACATTTGCCCAAGATTTGAATATGTTGACTAGTTGTGACAGCAACTGGAAGGATTATAGCGATGGAAGGTCCCTAGCTTTTATTGGAGAACATTTTAATTAACAATTTCGTTGAACATTTGGTCCTGAGCGCCTGAGCGATTTTTGATGAGTATTGTGCGGTTGTAGCGTGAATGGCCGTATTTTCGTGCACTTGAGAAATTCTCAACTTTCGCATATTAATTAAATTTTTGGGGCTTTGCGTTGAGCAGAAATACAACACGATTTTGTTTGACGTCAAAACCAAATTGACGTTTTTGTGCCTATTTCGCTATAAAAAAAAGCGAGCAAACATGTTCCGTAACTCGTGCATCTGAAGCTGGAAGCTCATGAAGCAGAAGTTAGGAAGGTTAATGCATGCAATTAAGTATTTTAGCGACGTATTAATTGCTATGCTATACAGTAACCACTTTCAGTAATTACTGAGAAAACTTTTTACTTTTACTTTCTATCGAAAAACATGACGATAATGCTAGATGTTTACTGCCCATAAAAACAACAGTCCCATATGGATTTGTTTGTCAGAAATGAGTTATCCATTAGAATCGATATTGTAAACTACCGACATTTTACACTGTGCACTAAAAGTTACATGTTTTGTTGTAAATTGAATTAACTAATTCGAAAATTTGTTACTGAAGCCTTATTTTCTAAAAATCATATGGCTTTGTTTTCTATATTTTCCGATTTTATCTATCTATATACAGTTCAATTAATGAATCATTGTCCTTTTTGTTTTTGCAAATCATTTATTTTTCAAGGCTTCAATGCGGAAGCTTTGCGGAGCCGAGATTCGATTTAACTTTTTATAATGTTTTTCAATACTAGAGTTAGTAGAAGAGGGGATCGGATACTCGCGTCTTAATGTCTTAATGAAGGTTGCGGGCTACAATCTATTAACTGGGAACAAGAAATTCCAGGAAAAGGTTCACAAAGATGCGATTAATATAGAGAGCTGCTCCAGGTCAAATAGTGTAAAATAGATTTTACCTCTCAGAATTCCATGAAACTTCGTTCGCTAGGGGCAATGAACCAACGACCAATTTGACTCACGCCTATTTTTTTTTAATACGGCTCATTCGATATTTTGCAATAACTCATAGTCTGAAAGAAAGTTGTAAAAAACTGGATTGGAAAATGATTAAAACTTAAAATTTCAATCACAAAAAGTACATTTTAGATATTTGAACTTATGTTTATTTGAAAGTTAATCAAAAATGCTAACTTTTCTGGAACTTCCAAATTGACCAAAATCGTAGAACATGAACTTATAGTAACATTTTGTTCCTCGCAATATTTATGTGATTTGTGCATAAGAAACGATTTTTTTAACTAAAAAATTGACCGCATGGTTGACGTAGACTACGTAATGCTGTTTAGTGAACTTCTCGTGGATTTTTCTTGATATTGATTTAAAATACAGTAGAAGTGACTTTTCGCTAATCAAACGTTTGGTTTCCAATAACTAGCAGCTTGGTACAACATTAATTGCAAATTAGGAGGATTCAATTATTCCCCATCATTTTGCTGGTTGTGGTGATCCTGTAGCAGGAACATTTTCTCGTCCGAAAACAGAATTTCACAATCACTGTGCCGCTTAACAGGCTTATCACGAGCAGGGCTCTACAATTTCGAAGCTCTAAAATGAACTCGTGTTTTGTTTCTCTCATACATACGTGTTCGACGCTTCATTTCTATAACGCCTAGCTAGACTATCAGCAAGAAACGAAAATAAAAAAGAAGGACGCTTGGAAGGAAAGGCTGGCTGTGGAACTTCTCGTCGTTGCTTTGCTCATCGCTTTCAATGTAAATAACGTCGATTTTCTAGTTAAACGAACTTCATTATGGCTTTCAATCCCCTTTCACGAACACTCTATCGCCGCTCTTTCAATTTGTTTAAAATGCGTTATGTCCCGTTTTCGATCATTTTTTTAGATAAATATATCGATGGAAGATAAATTAGAAATATGACGTGTAATCTTCAAGTGTTTTGACGTGAGAAATGCTTTAAATGTGTTATTTCATTTTCCGTCATATACGTCATGAAACCTCTGTTGATGTGTTTCATGAAAGAGAAAACTATCAAAGTCGAGCGCTCTTTCGCTCATCCATTTCGACGAAGCTTGAAAGGAAGACCAATGGAGCGACGGGAGAAAGAGAGACAAGCGATTGAACATTTGTTTGTGCACGCCGACTGAGGTTCTAGAATGCTGCGAAGCTGTTCGACTTTAACAGAAAAAGAAAGCCAGCAGTCTCTTCGTCGCATCGATTTGGTCGATTGAAGCTGATATTGTGACGCCCTGATCACGAGCCTCAAACGAATCCACCGTTCAGCTACACTCAAAATAATCTTCACGTCAATGCTACGTGAAAACATACGTAGATTTTTTCCATCGTACTTTTCACGTAAGAATTACGTGATTCTCATATAGATGCACTCATTTCGTCAAGCTTCAACGTCACATGAGTATCACATATAACTTACGTGATTTTGCTAATGAATGTCATGGTGGTTTTAAGTACTATTGTTTTGGCGATACTTATATACTTTTTTTTATTATTATAATGAATTTTCACAATATATCAGACTAATGCCCTTTTATTCAATAAAAAAGCCGCAATGAAATCCGATGAAACACTAATAATTCCAATCAGGTGCAGGGTGATAACATAAAGGTTGGTGATAATCCAAGTTATTTTTCCGCGGGAACTGCTGGATTGCTTGCCACCTACCTGTGAAAAATAATAAAATAATAAAATGAGTTTTGACAATGGGAAAAAATAACCCGTATCTTATACTTACATCTTGAAATTAATTTATAAAAATAACGAAAACATCTCTTTATCTAGCCGCCATGTTGTGCACCATGCTGAGTGTCGCACTGTTTTTTTTCAGAAGTGGAAACCATGTAAGGTTTACGTTAAACGCACATAGAAATTGTCTATGTGGAAATCACGTAAATTTCATTGGGAGCGTTAGAGTATTCAACATAAATTTTCTTTAATATTCAAGTGGTATCACGTATATGCTACGTGAGTCACGTAAAGCTGATAGAATAGGGAAACGAGATACCTTATGTGATTTTTCACGTAACTTTGACGTGTCGATTATTTTGAGTGTATAGTATTCATTGATTCCAATATATCTTTATTGCGGTCAATATATACACAGGGGGAACATAAATTCGAACGGGACAAGTAACGGAAACTTGGTTACAATCATATGATGTAAGGGAGTTTAACTCATGGTACTTCTTGCCGGTATACTGAAACAAAAAAAAAAACAATAACTTTTAATTCTATACATAATTTGTTTAGTTATCATACTTACAACACGAAATTGTTCCACGCAAATAAATAGGTAACAAAATTATCTAGATTTTCACTGGAATGTAAACATGCACATTGCAATGCCACCATATTGTGACTAACTCATTCATTCTTTCAGATGTGAGAATCGCTTATAGGGTTTACGTGAAATGCACATAGAATTTGTGTATGTGCAAATCACGTACGTTTCATTAAAAAATCTACCGACTTCCAAAAGGAATTTCCGTTGATGCATATGTGGTATCACGTAGACTCTACTTGTGTCTCGTAAAATTGACAGAAGCGGAAATAGAGTGACTCTATGTGATTTTTCACGTAACAATAACGTGTGAATTATTTCGAGTGTATCTTTCTCTCGGCTCATAACCGATTGATAGTTGTTGCTCAAGGGCGTAGCCAGGTTTCGAATTAGGGGGGGATTAGACGTGTCGATTAGCTGAACACCATTATACCGAACGCTATTATACCGTATGAATTACTAGGTCGATCGTCGTTTAACCGAAACTGAATTTCAGTCATACTTTGGCATATGTCATCGGTATTTTATGAATTTGTATAAAAATACAAAATGTTTATAAATAATGTATCCAGGGTGCCAGAACCTTTCAAAACTATAGGGATTGTCTTCAAGATTCAAGTTTTTTCTAGTAGTATTAAAATTAAGTTAGTTTTAAGTCTTACAATCCTCTGATTTTCCACTCCCGGATCTTTTTAATTTCCCTAGAAACCCCTCACAAAATATTTTTTCAATTTTTCCAAGAATTTTCTTAGCAAAAAGTTTTAAGCTACCGCATTCAAATTATTGATAACGATGACAGAAATCATGCTCAATAACATTAGGAAGAAACCCATAATTATTAATTAACCAGGGTGGAAAAGCGATAAATTGGTTTTACGAATTGTTTAAGGAATCTAAAGCTTGCAAAAAATTAAGATCCAAAGAATAGACGAACTCATGTTTTGTTCGATGTCTGAATTTTATTTGCACCAGACAGTGATTTTTTTTTTAAATTCGGAGTCTAATATAATTTAAAATTTTTCCTGCTTCGGTAAATGTTGACCATTTCGAACATATTTTTTTAAACCAAGACTTATAAAAGGATCATAACCTTGCAATAACAGTCCTTTTAATGTTGTCCAAGAGGGGTGAGAGGGGCATAGTGAACAGGTGTGGCATAGTGAGCATCCCATGCCCCAGCTTGGTCTTCCGGCCGTGCGGAACAAAGTTGATGGTGGTAGGATCAATATCATAATGATATAGAACCTACTTGATTTGTTTAATGCAGCTGGAGATCCAGAGCCAAAGTGCGGAATGCTCACTATGCCCCACCCGTTCACTATACCCCTCCTGCCCCTAATCAACTCTAACCGGTTAGCATTTAGACAATTTTACAATATTTTGTGACTCCGACAATTACGCAAAGCAAAATGATAAAACATCGTTAGTATCCGCGTTGATGTTGCGCGTTTTTTTTTTGCATGAAAAGGATTTCAATATTTTACAATTTGGTGAACGTTCAAAG